GAATATAATCAGTCTGATTTCAGTGTTGACCATCTGGTGATGTACATGTGTAGCATCATCTCTTGTGTTGTTGGAAGAGGGTGTTTGCTATGACTAGTGCATTCTCTTGGCAAAACTCTTATTAACCTTTGCCCTGCTTCATTCCATACTCCAAGGCCAAATTTACCTGTTAGTCCAGATGATTCTTGACTTCCTACTTTTGCATTCCAGTCCCCTATAATTAAAAGAACAACCTTTTGGAATGTTAGTTCTAAAAGGTCTTGTAGGTCTTCATAGAACCGTTAACTTCAGCTCCTTCAGCATTGCTGGTTGGGGCATAGGCTTGGATTACCGTGGTATTGAATGGTTTGCCTTGGAAATGAACAGAGATCATTCTGTCGTTAATGAGAGTGCATCCAAGTAGTGCATTTGGGGCTCTTGTTGACTCTTGTTGATGGCTATTCCATTTCTTCTAAGGAATTCCTGCCCACAGTAATAGATATAATGGTCATCTGAGTTAAATACTCGCATTCCAGTCCATTTTAGTTCGCTGAGTCCTGCAATGCCGATGGTCACTCTTGCCATCTCCTGTTTGACCACTTCCAATTTGCCTTGATTCATGGACCTAACATTCCAGGTTCCTATACAATATTGCTCTTTACAGCATCAGACCTTGCTTCTAGCACTAGTCACATCCACAACTGGGTATTGTTTTTGCTTTGGTTCCATCCCTTCATTCTTTCTGGAGTAATTTCTCCACTGTTCTTCAGTAGCATATTGGGCACCTACCGACCTGGGGAGTTCCTCTTTGAGTATTACATCATTTTGTCTTTCCATACTGTTCATGGGGTTCTCAAGGCAAGAATACTGAAATGGTTTGCCATTCCCTTCTCCAGCAGACCACATTCTGTCAGACCGGTCATGTCCAACTCTGTGACCCCCTGAACTTGTAGCAGCACACTAGGCTTGCCATCGTTCATTACTTCCCAGAATTAACTCAAACATGTCCATTGAGTTTATGATGCCACCAAACAGCTCATCCATTGTTGCCCACTTCTCCTTACCTCAGTCTTTCCCACCATCATGGTCTTTTCCAATGAGTCAGCTCTTCACATCAGAGGGCCAAAGTATTGGAACTTCAGCTTCAGCATCAGTCCTGATTGAATGATCAGTACTGATTTCCTTAGGATTGAGTGGTTTGATCACGCAGTCTTAAGATTCTTTTCTTGCATCACAGATGGAAAACATCAATTTTTGCTGCTTAGTCCTCTTTAAGATCCAACTCTCCAACTGCCTCCTGTTTTCCAAGAAGTGATGGGACCAATTGCCATGATCTTTTTTCGAATGTTCAGTTTTATGCAGGCTTTTTCACTCTCCTCTTTATCATTTTCATCAGAGGGCTCTAGTCCACTTTGTGCTACTGGTCTTCTGGTGTTAGATCTGGGTTGAGAAGATCCACGGGAGAAAGGGATAGGCTACCCACTCCAATATTCTTGAGCTGCTTTTGTGGCTCAGCTGGTGAAGAATACACCTGCAAGGTGGGAGACCTCGAATTGATCCTGTTTGGGAAGATCCCCTGGAGAAGGGAAAGGCTACACACTCCAGTATTCTGGCCTAAAGAATTCCAAGGACTGTATAGTCCATGGGGTTGCAAAGAATTGGACATGACTGACTCACTTCTACTGTTAGAGTTGTGTCATCTGTATGTCTGAGATTATGGATACTTTTCCTGGCAATCTTAATGCCAACTTATGCTTCATCCATCCTGGCATTTCATATGGTGTACTCTGTGTATATGTTAAATAAGCAGGGTGACAATACACAACCTTGACAAACTCCTTTCCCAGTTTTGAGCCAGTCAGTTGTCCCATGTCTGGTTCTCACTGTTGTTTCTTGTCCCACATACAGGTTTCTGAGGAAACAGGTAAAGTGGTCTGGTATTCACATCTTTTTTTTTTTTTTTTTTTAAGTGTATTCTACAGTTGTGATCCACCCAGTCAAAGGGTTTAGCCTGGTCAATGAAGCAGAAGAGGATATTTTTCTGAAATTCTCTTGCTTTTTCTGTGTTCCAACAGATGTTTGATCTGGTTCTTTTGCCCCCCCCTCCTGCTTTTGCTTTTTTATTTGCTTAAAAATAGATTCAGGCTACTAATTTTACTACCCTCCCTGTTTTTATTTTATTTTTAAAAATTAATTTATTGTAATTGGAGGCTAACAACTTTACAGTGTTGTAGTGGGTTTTGCCATACATTGACAAGGATCAGTCATGGGTATACATGTGTTCCCCCATCCTGAAATCTCTCTCCACAGCACCTTCAGCGTTTGCCCCATTGCACCAGATTTGAGTGCCTATTTCATGCATTGAACTTGGACTGGTGATCTGTTTCACATATGGTAATATACGTGTTTCAATCCTATTCTCTCAAATCATCCCACCGTCACCTTCTCTCACCGAGTCCAAAAGTCTGTTCTTTATATCTGTGTGTCTCACTGTCTTGCATATAGGGTCATCATTACCATCTTTCTAAATTCCATGTATATGTGTTAATATATTGTATCAAGTGTTTTTGTTTCTGACTTCACTCTGTATAATGGGCTCCAATTTTCATCCACCTCATTTGAACTGATCAAATGTGTGTGTGTTTTTTTTAATAGCTGAGTAATTTTCCATTGTGTGTGTACACCACAGCTTTCTTATCCATTCCTCTGCCGATGGACATCTAGGTTGCTTTCATGTCCTGGCGATTATAAGCAGTGCTACGATGAACATGGGGTACATGTCTCTCTTTCTGTTCCTGTTTCCTCAGTGTTTAGGCCCAGCAGTGGGATTGCTGGGTTGTATGGCAGCTCTACTTCCAGTTTTTAAAGGAATCTCAACACTGTTCTCTATAATGGCTGTACCAGTTTGCATTCCCACCAGCAGTATAAGAGAGTTAGCTTTTCTCTGCATACTCTCCAGCATTTATTGTTTGTAGGCTATTTGATAGCAGCCATTCTGATCAATGTGAGATGGTACAGCATTGTGGTTTTAAGTTGCATTCCTCTGATAATGAGCTATGTTGAGTATATTTCATGCATTTGTTAGCCATCTGTATATCTTCTTTGGAGAAATGTCTGTTTAGTTCTTTGACCCATTTTTTGATTGAGTCATTTATTTTTCTGAAATTGCGCTGCATGAGTTTCTTGTGTATTTTTGAGATTAATCCTTGGTCAGATGCTTCATTCCCTATTATTTTCTCCAATTCTGAAGGCTGTCTGTTCACCTTGCTTATAGTTTCCTTTGTGGTGCAAAAGCTTTTAGTTAGGTACCCCCCCCCCCTTTTTTTGCTTTTATTTCCTTTATTCTGGGAGGTGTGTAATAGATGATCCTGCTCTAATTTATGTCAGAGAGTGTTTAGCGTATGTTTTCCTCTCGGAGTTTTATTGTTCCTGGTCTTACTTTTAGATCTTTAATCTATTTTTAGTTTATTTTTGTGTATGGTGTACAAAAGTGTTCTAGTGTCATTCTTTGACAGATGGTTGACCAATGTTCCCAGCACCACTTTTTAAAGAGATTGTCTTTTCTACATTTTATACTCTTGCATCCTAATAAGGTGTCCATAGGTGAGTGAATTTATCTGTGGGCATTCTGTTTTGTTCCATTGATCCATGTTTCTGTCTTTGTGCAAGTACCATACTGTCTTGATGAGTATAACTTCATAGTATACCCTGAAGACAGGCAGGTTGATTCCTCCTGATACACTGTTTCATAAGATTGTTTTGGCTATTTGAGGTATTTTCTATTTCCATAGAGATTGTGAAATCATTTTTTTTTTTTTAGCTCTGTGAAAAATGCCATTGGTACCTTGATAAAGATTACATTGAATCTATAGATTGCTTTGGATGGTATACTCATTTTAACTATATTTCTTCTTCCTCTCGCAGGCAGGAATTCGAACAATATTCAGGAAGTTCGGTCATGCCAGCAGACCTAGACATTCTCTTCCTCTGTCCAAGGTGTGGCCATGCCCCCTTAGTACTGTGTAGTGTTCATGTCTGCCCAGCAAGAGAGAGAGGGTAGCCCATCCGCCTCTATGGTTCAGCAGTGATGACCCACTGTTGGATTTCAAATTTGAGAAAGCACTGTCAAACCATGTGGAACAGAATAGTCTGATCTCCCATGGGTGCAACTCACTGAGGAGGAGAAAGGCTTGCTTTCACTACAAGGTTAAGCAGCTCTTCTGAGCGCTGGTGTCCAGAGAATGGCAGGCAGCCACAACACCCCTCACAAAGATAGACACAAAGAGAGAGCGGGCCCTATGACACACACAAAGATCACTTCATGCTATGCATGAAGCAGAGACAAAGACACACAGAAAGAGATCTGTACCCTATGGCTCTGGTGACCCTGAACAGTAGAGGTCAAGTGTTGCAAACGTTAGGGTTTGTAACCACTCCCCTATGATCCCAACAGCAACAGGCTTCTGTCCCATGGAGGAAAGTATCCAGCCACTTTGTACCCCTGCCTATCCTTTGGATAATCAGGGAGAGCTCCCAGGGATTGACGGTCCCATGGGACACAGGAGTGTGCTCTTTGGATTGTGGAGCAAGAACACATGGCTTCAATTTCCAGAGGCCAATTCAATGTCAGAGCCTGGGGGTAGCGCCAGATGCAATAGCCTGTCCTCCCTGAAGCCGAGTGTCGCCACGTGGGGGCGCTGGAGCCCAGGAAGCCGGGAAGACGCCCTCAGGTCTAGGGCCATGTCCATCAGGGTGCCGCCCCCTACCCTCTCTGCCATTGGTCTAGATATGGCCAAGGAGCCTGAGCGTGTCTCACAGCCTAGGGGTCCCATGTATTGGGCTGATCTCCGTGCACATTCTCCTAGCCTCTCTGGAACCCCCTTCTTCAGCCTCAAGGCACCCGCCACACACCAGTCCCCCCCCTGCTGACCATTCCACTCTCATCTTACCCCAAAGAGCTAGCGAGCCCCAGCCGGTTACTACAGCCCGGGCCGCCTTTGCGCACCACTTGCTGTGCTATTATGCCCGGTCCCTTCGAATCTGCCCCAGCTCGGGGTCACAGCCAGGACCCAGAGTAGCGTGAGAGGCGGCCAGAGGAAGGCGGGAGTATCCCGGGACTCTGGACCATCTTAGCTGGGAGCCCAGGTGCTCAGGGGGCAGTGGCCACACGGCCTGTCGTGATGCTGTGCACGGCTGGGACTTTGCAGCCACCAGTTGGCACACCAGGCGAAGAGGTCACCCTCTACGTGGTGGAGGCAGTGGAAGACGGCAGGGACCTGGTGGACGGAGAGGAGGCGGGGATCTGGCGGGAGTGCCAGCTGCTGGTGAAAGACATCATGGAGGAGGGGGAGGTTGTGGCCGATGAGGTGTGGGATCGGGGGTCCTGCCAGGAGATGGAGGAGAAGACGGTGGAGCAGGGCCTGGAAAGATCCAGAGGCGTGAGTGAGCAGCCGGCGCTAGATATGCTACAGGCACTGTGCGCCCTGCAGTTGAAAATGAGCTCCCAGCATGAGGAAAACTGCCGGGCCTACGTTCGGTTCATGTACATGAACCATCTGAGGAGGAAGCATCACTTGGCTTGGAGAAGTGCCATCCCCAAGGGCATCCCTGGCTTCTGGGCCAAAGCTGTATCCTTCCTGCTGCTCCTAGAGGTCTGCCTCTCAGGAAGAGGAGGAGGAAGTGGAGCAGAAGCTGGAGCATGTGCCTGGCGGGAGGGGTGGCGGGTTGGGGGCGGGTATGGGGCGAGGGCACAGGAAAGGTGACAAAGCCCGTTGAGGGAAGTGTGGTCCTGGGCAGTGGCAGGTTCCAAAGGCACAGCCAAGTAGAATTCGGGTAGAGCAACACCTATAAATGTCACAGCCATGACTCTGGGTTTCCCCTTCATGCCTGCGTCTGAGGAGGACCAGCACCCGAGGCCTCTAGGTCAGGATGACCAGAGAAAGTACACTAGAGCAGCAACTGCAGACATTTATTGTTGTAAATGTGGATGATCCCCAGAAATAGCTGAGAAAAGGGTCTCACATACACACAGACACCCACTCACAGTGATACACACACATTCAGACACACACATTCAGAAACACACACACACCCCAGTTTCTTTCAGATACGGTGTCACAAGGACTGCAAGTCCGAACCATGTTACCAGTGACATGCAACTACCCAGCAAACACGGGCCAGGAGGGAGGCAGTAGAGGTCAGAAATAGCCCCTGGTTGCGAGATGCAGACCACCTGAGCTGCAGAACAGCAGAGAACCCAGAGCCACAAGCATGTCTGATGGTATGGCAGGGCCTGAAGACGTCAGTGGTGGCCGGGGAAGTGGGAGTGCCCAGCATCCTTGCAGATGCCTGTTCCAGTGCCCTTCTCCAGGCCAGACTAGGGCTGTTGCTCCTGGCTCTTCTTGGCCCGGCATGTGGCCTGAATGGCTCCTTGACCTAAAGCAGATTATGAACCATCCTCAAGTGTCCATCATAATCAGCACCCAGGATGAAGACTTTCTTAGCTACATGATTGACTTCAAGGACAGTGAGGGAGGCTTAAGATGGGTGCGTTTGGCACTTGACAAGGAGCTGGGGGATGGTGTTATCCATGGGCCTGTACTGTGAGACTTTGGAGAGGTGTCATGTAGGCTGTTAATGCCTGCCTGGGAGGCAAGCTGAGGCCCCTCAATGCTTGAACCTTTTCCCTACTCCCTGTGCTGGCAGGGCCAGGTGCGGAGCCATCCGCGGCCCCGCTTCAAGCTGATCTTCACCTTTTGGAACAACTCGAACTTCTGTAAAATGGTGATTGTTAAGGACTATTACCTTGAGATCACTGGTATACGTGGCTCCTAGGGTGTTGAGTGTGGGTGTGCAAGGGGGCTGGGGTGTGGGGGGTGGATGCTTCAGCTGCGGCATCTACCCCTGTCTCCCATGTCTTTCTACAGGATATAGGGTACGTCGTTCCACTCCAGTCCACTGGTTCTGGGACTTTGAACGGGGAGCACACAGCCACAGGCTGGACACCAGGAGCCTTACCTTTCTCAATTGGCTGTCAGGCCACAACTGCCCAGAATCAAACAGGATTGCTGATTGTTTTGTGTGGGCCTGCGCACAGTTAGTGATTGATGTTGGAACTCTTGGCTTCTGACAGGAGGGTTAGGGGCCTGGTCAGCCCTGGGCTGACCTTGCTCTTATTGCCATCAGCTCATTGGGCAGGACGTGTGGGATGATCCCCCGATGTACTACCCCAGGGAGGAATTTTGTGCCATGAGAGGTAGCTGACAGAAACACAGGTGGTGAGGGGGTCTGCAGGGAGGCCCTGAGGGGACAGCCGTGTAGAAGTTGGGGCACTGTCCTTTCCCAGATGGGGATCCTCAGGCTCATGCAACCTGGCTGCGGAGCCTGGGTTTGGGTCATGCATGTAGCAGGTGACGTGCTGAGACTGGAGGCTTGGGGACTTGGTGTGTCCATGAGTGAAGCAAGTCTCCCTCCAAGCAGCTGTGGTTGCAGTGCCAGAGTCATCGGTGATTCTGCGCGAGGCAGGGTGAATGACGTCTATTTGTCAGAATCGTCCTTTGCTCAATCCCGCCATCCCCGGCCTCCTGCTGCTCAGAGAGTATGAGATTGTCTGAGTCCTTCCCTCCTGCCATTTCTCCTGAGATAACCTATGACTGGAAGGGCATCCTCTCTGGTCTCCCAGTGCACTTGAGTGCTGAGTTTGGGGTCATCTGTGAATTTCCACATCCACCAATCGCCATCTCACCAACACCACGCAGGGCGAGATGGAACTGGCTTCAGGCCGGCTTGGGAAAATATGGAAGAGCTGCGGGACAAGGTGGATAGGGGGCCCCAAAGGAAGGACATGGTGCCTACTGATGCCATCTCCCACATTGCTGGGCATGGGCGTCTTCAGCTACTGAGAGAGCTGTGGTCCCTGTTTGCGTTTGTGTCCCTGTGCTGAGCATGTGTGTGTATATACACAAGTGGGCTTGTGTCACCTGTGTTAATGTGGGTCTGTGTGTGTGTGTGTGTTTCTGGCCCAGCGCAGACGCACAGATGAAGGTCTCAGGAGAGGAACTGCCAAGCAATGAGAAGAGGAGGCACAAGGTGTCCCCAGACTGAGGGTAGTTGGTCGAACTATCTCTGCAGTGATCCTGTCCAGGCTGGGAAAGAGGAAAGGGTGGCCAGTGATAATTCAGAGCATGGCTCCCATGTGTGCAATTAGACCAAAAAGGAAAACATGTTCACCATTTTACTGTGTTATTTTGTGTGTTTGGACCAGGTGGAGGGTTGAGTGGTCAGAGGATTGTCCCAGGGAAAATCAGGTGGTGTGGGGCTTTGAATCCACTGCCTATGGACCCCTCAGTCTGTGGCAGAGTGGGCCAGCCGATGGAAATATTGGACGTGGCTACGGCAGGGCCTGGGATGGTGAGGAGGCTAAGGTCCTGTGGAGAAGGGCAGAGACCTGAAGAGGGAGGAGTCACAGAGAGCCTGCTGCCCTGGAGACTTGTTCCACACACGTGAGAAGGATACACGGGAGAAGTCCTGGGCCAGGGCTGCCCCGGATTTCCCCGTCAGGCAGCACGCTCCCTCCCAAAGGAGCACACACTGGCACAATAGAACACAAAATGTCAGCTGTGCTGATGTAGGCTGTCCGTGTGAAACCCCAGGCATTCTAGCAGACTCAGGGTGTGAGCGTGGCATGCCAGCAGGCACTTGCACCTGGCAGGGCAGAACGGCAAGGAGAGCACAGGTGTGGGGTGTACGTGTGTGTCCCTCTACTGGCGTGTGCCTGTGAGGCAGAGAAGTGGGAGGATGCAAGACTGGTGGGCTGGCTGCTTGTCCCAAGGGACCTTGGGACAGTGGGAGACAGGGAATGCCGAGGGGTGCGCTCAGAGCCTGCTGGTTTTCACTGACCCTGCCAAAAGATAGCTCATGGCTCGTGCTGAACGCCCTGATGTGAATCCCTTCCATCTTTTAGGGTCTTGTCCCTGGCTGTAAGGCCAGAGTGGCACAGGTGACAGTGTTATCTTGGTGGATTCTGGCAGTTTCACTTGAGCAGAATCTCTGATTTTGTCTTAGGGGATCTGTACCAGGTGACACTCAGAGGAACCCTGCTTTCCAGGTGACCATTTTCGATGTCCCTGGGCCCAACTGGGGACTGCCTTCCTCTGCCCGTGGCCTAGGTAGGCAAGCAGGGATGCCTGTCTTTCAAGAGACCTACCTGGGCCTAGTGAGAGTAACTGAAATAGAGCCTTGGCATTTATCAAATGAGTGAGGCCTTGGGTGGAATCAAGCCCTCTTGGTGCATTTGAGATGGGAATGCTGCTTTCTGCCCAAGGGAGGCATGAGCTGTGGGCCTAAAAGGGCCAGTTTCCCAGGGCATCATCCTTTCGGGGATTCTTGTGTGTCTGGGTAGTTGTGAACTGAAGGGACTAGGTCTAAGGATGCTGCCTTACCTTTCTGGCCTCAGGTCCCATGCCTTGTACTGGAAGAGACCCTGTAGGTGCATGCACCTCCTTCATGACATTGTATCAGTCCCAGGCTGGCCACGGTCTCCTTGGACTCTTGGAGGCTCGGGCATCTCGTTGGCCTTTTCCTGCTACAGGGAGACAGCGCTTGGGGGCACAGGTGGACAGGTTCACACAGAAAGCTCCAGAGATATGGAGGACAGGGGGCCTTAGCCAGAATGTTGTGGGCCCTAACAGATGATAGGCTTGCAATGGGGCACAGACTTGACAAGGCATGATGTAGAGAGGTGCACACCAAGTAAGTGGTTTTCCAAGTCTGCTGAGCCCAAAGGCCCTTGTTTTCTGCTTCCCTGAAGGAATGCACAGGTAATGGAATCATGCCAACGTGACTGGTATTGTGAACCTACCCAAGGTTATGGGAGACTGTGGAACACAGGCGCAAGTCACTCAGCTGTCCATGGCGAGCACTTTCAGGCCTGGCTGACGCTCTGCAGGTCGGTCGTTGTCATGAACAATGCCAAGATTTGTGAACCTTGAGGACAAGTCACAGAGTTAGAAGTGCAAGCTGACAGGATCAACGACCAAGTGAAGGAAAATAACATGGACAAAGAAAGTTGGGTGCTTACCAGAACCCATGTTCTGGAACAAGAAAGCCTATACTTCTGCACATGTGTTAGTCTCTCTCAGGGACGTGAGTGTGTACATGTGGATGTGTGTGCACGTACTCACACAGAAGTGCCTACCGGTACACTTGTGATTGTGAACATTTGGAAGACATCTAGATAGGTGACGCAAGAATGGACAGCAGAAACATGAAGGGAACATAGACTGTTGCAAGCAGAAGCACTAAATTCAGGGAACCATGCCCTATGATCTCACTGAGTTAGCAAGTTCCACATCAAAATAGATGCCTGCAGCCCGGACCCCTGGCAGAAAGGAGAGGCAGGAGGAAATCACCTGGGCATGACACATGGCTTGAAATTCCAGAGGCCAATTCAATGCCAGCGCCTGGGGTAGTGCCAGATGCAATAGCTGTGCCCTCCCTGAAGCAGAGTGGCACCATGTGGGGGCGCTGGAGCGCAGGAGGCATTGAAACCACTCTCTGGTCTAGGGTCATGTCCATAAGGGTGCCACTTGCTACCCTCTCAGACATTGGTTTAGATTTGACCCAGCAGCCTGAGCCTGTCTCACAACCTAACGGTCCCCAGTGTTGGGCTGATCTCGGTGCACCTTCTGGCCTCTCTGGAAACCCTTTCTTCAGCATCAGGCCACCCGTTACACACCATGGACAGCCCATGGACCATTCCACTCTCACCCCGCCCCAGATAGCAAGTGAGCCCCACCCAGTTACTGCAACCTGGGACGCCTTTGTGCACCAGTTGCTGTGCTATTATGTCTGGTTCCTCAACATCTGCACCTGTTCGGGGTCACAGCCAGGACACAGAGGAGTATGAGAGCTGGTCAGAGGAAGGCGGGAGCTTCCTGGGACTCTGGACCTTCCTAGCTAGGATCCCAGGTGCTCAGGAGGCAGTGACCAGGGGGCCTGCCGTCGCGATGCTGTGCATGGCTGGGACTTTGCAGCCACAAGTTGGCACAACAGGCAAAGAGGTCACCCTGTACGTGGTGGATGAAGTGGAGGACTGCATGTCCTGGTGGATGGAGACGCAGCGGGTATTGGGTGGGAGTGCCAGCTGTTGGCAGACGACGTCTGGAGGAGGTGGAGGTTGTGGCGGGTGAGGAGCGGGAACAGGGGTCCTCCCAGGAGCTGGAGGAGAAGCGTGTTGGGGAGCAGGGCCTGGAAAGACTGGAAGGCCTGAGTGAGGGGCCGGCGCTCGACGCGCTAGAAGCAATGACTGTCCTGCAGGTGGAAATGAGTTCTCGGCAAGTGGAAAACTGCCGGGCCTCCGATCAGTTCATGTGCATGAAGCATCTGAGGAGGAAGCATCACTTGTCTTGGAGAAACACCATCATCCAGGGCATCCCTGGCATCTGGGCCAAAGCTGTACCATCCTGCTGCTCCTAGGTGTCCACCTCTTAGAAGGAGGTGGAGGAGTTAGAGGAAGAGGTGGGGCAGAATCAGGAGGATGTGGGGGTGGCGTGGCGAGTTCAAAGGAATGATGCCAGAGGCCCCTGAGGGAAGTGTGGTTCTGGGCAGTGGCAGGTTCCAAAGGCACAGCCGAGTAGAATCTGGGCAGAGCCACACCTGTAAGTGTCACAGCCATGACTCTGGGTTTGTCCTTCAGGCCTGCATCTGAGGAGGACTGGTACCCCAGGCCTCTAGGTCTGGAATAACCAGAGAAATTACACTAGAGCAGCAACTGCAGACATTTATTGTTGTAAATGTGGATGATCCCAGGGAATAACTGAGACATGGGAGTCACACACACACACACACAGACACAGACACACACACACGTACAGACAAACACACACATACAGACACACATAGAAATACACACATGCCTGTTTTTTTCAAGTATGTTTTGTCTCAAGGAGTGCCTGTCCTAACCATGTAACCAGTGACATGCCACTACCCAGCACACACAGACCAGGAGGCAGACAGTAGAGGTCAGAAACAGCCCCTGCTTGTAGGATGCAGACCACCTGAGCTGCAGAACAGCACAGGGAACCCAGAGCCACGAGCGTGTCTGATGGTATGGCAGGGCCTGAAGGCGTCAGTGGCGGCCGGGCAAGCGCGAGTGCCCAGCATCCTTGCAGATGCCTGTTCCGTCTTCACAGATGCTCTGTGCAATCCTAAATGGGAAGGAAATTTTTTTAAAACAGGAGATAAGTACATATAAATACACATAT